GCCATCTACAAGCCAAGGAGAGAAGCCTGGAACGGATCCTTTCCTCATAGCCTCAGAAGGAAACAACCCTGTCAACACCCTGATCTCACACTTTCAGCCTCCAGAACTGTGAATAACAAATACCAACAAAACAATAAATTTCTGTTACGCCCCCAGGTCTGTGGTGCTTTGGAGCAGCCTCTGTTGCTCCAAATACAGAGGTGCAGAGATATTAAGGGACTCTTTTTCTGGAGTTACACCAAAGGGAAACAGAATTGGGCCTCTACCACGGTTCTTTTTTCTCTTTGTAGAATAATTCTTAAACTACTGATGTCTACTTACAGAGTTAACATTTATATGCCAATAAATATTTAAAATATTAACCTGAAAAAACTCAAAGTAGCAATTTAATGCCATTCCTCTTAGGTTCTGCTTCCAGTTAAGATATAGAAGGACAGGAAAGACTCCAACTACCACTTTTACAACAAAGAACACCAGATGAACTACAAAATCATATTTTATTTTATCCACTGGGAGAGCTAAGGTCTCAAAGAAGTGTAGAGGAACCAAATTTCAGAGGGATGGAGCCCTTGCTGAGCAAAGATCAGCAGCTACAGTTATCCCTGGGGCACAGGTGGAATGAGGAGCTAATTAGCATCTAAGCTGTGGAAATAAGGATGAAACAGCCAAATGTTAACTGTGTAGGCTGGAATAATGGATTACACCTGGATTCGAGATGTTCTAAATCTACTCCAGACTTCTAAGTGTGTGATGGCTGGTAGAAGTCAGGACAGGAATGGAAACAGAGTGGTAGCTGCATAGTCACGTGAGTACTGGCACCTACGCTCTATATGGGGAGAGACCTAAGCCTGCCATAAACCTTTGCAGCTAGTGGCAAACCCAATCCAAGCCAAACCACTTCAAATCCCAATTAAACAGAATGGCTGACCTCCTCATCCTAGCTGCCTCTTTGTCACCCTAAGAGGAGCCAGGTGAGGACACAAGGGTGTCATACAAAGAAGTAATTGCAGAGAAGTGAAGTTTGGGCAAATGTTACCTGACGTCCAAACTCCTGCTTTACTCGTCAGCTGCATGAACTAATGTCAATGATGTCTTTAGTGTTTAAGCCAGTTTGATTTCTGTCATTTCCAACCAAATGAATCTTAACCCATTTATGCCTGAGGTTGCAAATTTTTTTTGTGAAAACTCAGACCTTGGCAATGACCTTGAGCAGTAGGGTATAAACAACTTCCACAAGCTTAGTGTTCCAATGATGGAACACTAGGCATAATTGGTACAAAGCACAAGACCTGACCAGTTGCACATTACAGAGGATATACACGTATTACACATGCAAATTCTTGCATAAATTAGCAATACACAGTTTCTAAAGAGTTACCGTATCCATCAAATACTCATTGACATTACCTTTATAATGTTATAAGTGAACAAGACAACACTAGAAAATAACCACCATGAGTTTTTAAGATAATGATAACAGAACTTAACCTATAAAGTAGACATCAGTGCTTCACAGAAACCACAGTTGGAGGCAAAATCACGTTCCAATGAGCTCACCACCACTCAGCATATCAGTGGGATTCCTATGTTGCAAATGTTAATGGAAAATTACTCTTCTGTTTCACCTACTACCACATACATGTGAAATACACCACGGGTGAAGAGAGGAAGATTCATATTGTTACTTAAGAGCATGAAAATGCTGGGAGGAAGATTCTAAACTGAATCATAATGGAGAAATTAAAAAAAGCACTGAAGGAAGATTAAAAGATTTGAAGTCAAAATAACTGTTTAAAAATCAAGGAACATTTCAAAATATCCAAGGTACCATTTTAGTTTGCCAAGTTCCAACCTGGAGTGCTATTTTATGGATCAGTTTATCAGGCCCCCAAAATTAGAAGCAATGTAGGAAACAGGATCAGACTGTCCCCTCGCCTGAAGCCCCAAAGACCACTAGAAATGCAACCTCAGTAGTGTCCAAGGGAAAGAAACATTTCCCAGGTGGCCTTTGCTGTGTCAGTCCTTCTAGCCCCCACCCCTGCTCGGACATAAAATCCTGATCAGCACAGCGGCGCACCTGGGTTCACCTTTCAAGTACACTGAGTGCTTCACGGAGGAAGTTTCTCAGACTCCTCCTCACCTACAAGAGCAGACAAGGCTACTCTCAGACCGTGTTCAAGGTTATCATAACACAGGGTCAACAACAGGGCATGAAACCTATGGCTGCCATGTTCAGCCAGGAAGAGCACGTTCCCATGGGAAATCTTGGATTAACCTGATTAATCTTTCTAGGAAAGATTAGGAAACTTCTAGGAAACTTCAAGAATGTACTTTGCAGATGTCCCAGTAAATTTAATTTTCCTGATTTCTAAACTCCTGATGTTTGAAAGCTAATCCAAACGAGATAGGGCCTAACTGACTGCTCATTAGCTCAGCCTATTAAAAGGCCCGTTGTCCTCCTCAGGACAGCCACATTTACTGAATATTTCATGCAATGCAAGAAGGACCAGAAGCAAAATATGTAACTCTCCTCTGCGTCTGTATTCCTCACTAGCGCAGAGCCTGAGTCTGGCACAACCTTAAATACGCACATTACAGCCTGCTCAAAGCAAGCTGATGCAAGGTTTGAGAGCAGGGAAGGAGAGATTATATTTTTAAGCAAGTTCAGAAATTTCTCCCTACAGTCTTGAATGGCTGCTCTTGTTTTAACTTTTTCCATCACATCCACCCCACCCTGGTTTTGTTAATTTTATTTCCTCATTAAAGGCTAAACAGTCTATCAAAAGAATGCCTCAAAACTCTTCTTAGGGACAAAAAGGCAAACACAAGCACCATTTATCATGTTGTCAGTGATCCTCAGTATCACACGACTAAAGAGGATGGAAGGTGGTCATTAGACAAACATCCCATTATCTCATCTACAAGCATGCTGAGTTCTGACCATGGACTAGCGGCTCATGAACGGTGGCGTGAGCAGAGGGAACAGTGAGAAGACGTATTTATCCTTTGTTTCATTGCATGGCCCTGCTTGAAGGTGCTCAAATGGGAAAATCCACTCCTGATGGCCCACAGGTGCTATTCCTCAGGTTTAACGGTCCTTAGTGATGTGGTTTTCAATACCAGCTGAACATCAGAACCACCTGGGAGCCTTTACATTGCCAGATGTCCTCAGGATGTCTAATTAAAGTGGTTCTCTGTGGGTGGGACCCAGGCGTGAGGAGTTGTTAAAGCTCCCCAGGTGAGGCCAAGGTATACCCAGGACTGAGAACCACTGCCGTAGAGAAATCTCTCTGCCTCTGCGCCGGTACGTCAAGACAGAACGAGGTAGAGTCAGGGGCTCAGGTTAAAAATAGCACACTGGGGAGGGTCAGGCATAGTGGCTCATGCCTATAATCTCGGGACTTTGGCAGGCCAAGGCGGGAGGATCACTTGAGCCCAGGGGTTCAAGACCAGCCTGGGCAATATGGCGAAACCCCATCTCTACCAAAACAAAAATTAGCCAGGTGTGGTGGTGCACGCCTGTGGTCCCAGCTACTCAGAAGGGAGGATCACCTGAGCGCAGGAGGTCAAGGCTGTGGCAAGCCATGATCACACCACTGCACTCTAACTTGGGTGAGAGAGTGACACCGTGTCTCCAAAAAAAAAAGCCATACTGACATCAAGCCCACACACAACCATTAGACTTACCAAAGACCCTGTTTCCTATTAAATGGTATTTTTTAGGTACTAGTAATTTTATTTGGTCCTCCTTACTTTTGTAAGGATGCAGAAAAAACAGAAAAACCCTAATGACTCCATTTGAGACTCAAAGCTCCCCTGAGGTTTCAGAGATGCCCTCTATGCAGCACAATCACCTCTAATACCCACCCTGCCCACCCAGACTAGGCTAAGGAGAAAGTCGACCTACTTCCATCAAGTCCACACACAGCAGCTGAGCTCAACTGCAAAACTTGTTTGCAAATAACAAGGTAATTCTAAAGCAGTCACATAATTTATTCCCAATGTCACCAGGATACTAAACCAAGACCCATTGTTTCCAATATCACCAGAATACTAAACTAAGACACACTGCATTTTCATACAAAGATAAGTCTTTAAACTACAGAAGCACAGCCCCCAGAAGTCAGCAGTGGGGTCCCACGATCTCCTGGGAGGAAATGCCACCTGTGATCCAACTTCATCTGGAGACATTTGCAGCCCCATGAAATGTTCTTAAACATGTGATGGGTAATCAACATTAAGGATGCTCAAAGAAAGACCCAGAGTATAAGAGCCCCAGGTTCTCCCCCTACACTGCATATTAAAATCACTTTTAAAAACACTGGAACCCAAATCATACCCCAGACTAAAAAAGATCAGGATGGTGGGGGACAAACCAGTGCATGGCATTTTTTAAAGCAGTGGTTCTCACACTTTAGCACACATCTGGAGGGCCCATGAAACTAGAGATTACTGGACCCTCCCCCAGAGTTTCTGATTCACAGGTCTGGCCTGAAAACGTGCATTTCTAACAAGTTCCCAGGTGATGCTGATGCTGCTGGCCCAAGGGCCACACTGCAAGAATCGCAGCTTCAGAGGCGTCCCAGGTAGCTTTAATTAGTGCAGCCAGCACTCAGGAGCACTGTATTATTAAGAGTGAGCTCCTTGTCAGGGCACCAGGAGGAGGGAATTCTCATCCAAGCTTGGCTACAAACCTGGGGTTTGATCAATAAGCCCTAGAGGATTTTTGGACCTCAACTTGCTCTTGATATATAAAATTGAGGTACTGCATGAAAGAGATCATGGGTTCCTTGCAGAAATAAAACGATGACTTTTTCAAAGGGCTGCTGACACTAAGACACATAGAAAGGAAAAGGAAGTGGTCTTAGGGCAATAAAACAGCTTTTGAAATATAGGGGAAGGTAAGTTCTCACTCACGTGGCTTCAGTGCACTTGGAGACACACAAAGGATGCGGGCTCTGCGTGTGTTCTAAGCCGGTCATGCTGCTGCCCTGACTCACCTGTTAGAACCTTGCAGAGCTGCCCAGATCTCTGAGCCTCGGCAGAAGGGTTGGGAGTCAAAGACCATTTGCGCCTGATCAGATGCTCTCGTCCACTGAATGGGCCCTGGGAGTTGTTGAGGGGCTGGATTAGCACCTGCTCCTGCCCAAGCTGAATGAGGCCAACCTGTCCAGAAAGGAGAAGGAAACGCAATGTCGGTCTTCCTCATTCACACATGCCCATGGCTCCCTCCACTGCCGGAGGAGCAGGCAAGGTCACCTAGGTGTGAGTTCCATGTCTGGGCTCTTTTCTTTGCAAATTGGTCAGATATACCTGAGCCCAAGAGTGAGCTTCTGTGTGACTTACAAACATACCACAGAGCAGCTGCGTTGGGGGTGGGGATACAGACACAGGTACAACAACATCCATTTTCCATGTTGCCTTTCAGAGAAGATGAACTACTTCATTATCAAATTTTTAATTTTAAAATTATTTTTTAAGTTACTTTAAAAATCATCCTCACAAAAGTCCACCTGGGAGGCAACACTGAAATTGTTGGGAATGACATTTATATCCCTAATGGAAAAATGTATCTTATCCTGGGTATATTAAAAGTAATGTTAATATTGTTTTGACAGCATCAAAACAATTTGCCCTCCTTCCCCAGGCACCTGCTGCTAGTTTCCCTTCTTATGTGGAGTAAAAATGGTAAATCTCTCAAGGAAATCGAACCCAGGCAGGGCCAGGGGAGGACCTGGTTTGTACACTGATCGATGCAGTCACCATTCCCTTCTCCTGGGAACGATCCTGAACTGCCTTTGATTGCACAGATTCAGGAGATCTGGGGGATGAGTCTCAGGGGGTCACGATATCCTTTCTTGTCTCCCTCTTCCACCCTCACTTTTCAAAAGCCATGACACACATTGGTTCTCAAAGCCTAGCGTGCACCCAAATCACCTGGAGGTCCTGCTGGAGCCCAAGAATGTGCATTTTTAAGAAGATCCCATGTAATACAGGGACCACACTTGGAGAAGCAGCACTCCCTCCCACACGCAGAGCTAACTCCAGGCTCAAGTATAAAGCTCACTTAAGCCAAATGAGATAGACCCCCCTCTACATTCTGAAAGGATGCACCGGTACCAAGATTCCTGGAAAGTAAATCAGATCAACTAATAAGATCGCCTGCAACCTTGCATCCCCAAGATACAGGGTGAGGCCATACTTACCGCTCTAAGCATATTTCAAGGTTTCCATTTCATTAGAACTTTTGCCAAGAACAACTCAAAGAGTTTACTGCCCAAATAAAACTGTCTCAAAGTGGCACTGCATGACCTGCAGGAGAGCACAGCTTTCCTCCCTCTCCTTTAAAGTGAAAACTTGAGTTTATTCACTAGGAAGCTTTACGGAAACTGAAGAAATGGAAGAGGGTGGCCACAGTGGGATCTGCAGAGCTCCATCATAGCTGTGCACAACGCAGCCTCGGTGCAGAACACCTGAAAACTTCCGCGGTCAAGATAGGGTGGGCAGGGTACAGCACAGCGCGTGGGATGCAGCCCCGCGTGGGAGGAAACCCCTGCTCCCTAGAGGATACGCTTCACTCTAATGAGGGGCTGGACTCACGTGGAAACACCCTGGCTGTGGGTCAAACCCCTCCCCGCAATCTAGCACGTTCAAAGCCAGTTCTTATTCGTTCAGTCTAGAGTTTGTATTCACAAACCCCGGTATAAAAAGGCGTTAGCTGTTAGTTGTAAGGCCGAACAAGTTTTTCAAGACAGGGAGATCTCACCTTGGTGAGAAATCCTACACAGATACACTCATATATACATGCAAAGCATCACTTAGCACCTTAGGGAAGGTTTTTCTTTACAATTCTCAGGGACCCCATGTGCTGGTTTCTATAAACTTAAGGAAGAAAACAGCAATGCTGGGGAATGATGGATAAATGGACTAGTGGGTCCTCAACCTGGCAGCCACTTGCCCTCTTGGGCTCCAACCTCAAGCAGGGATGTGGCCAGGAGTAGCCAGCAGGGAGGGACTGTACAGGGCCCTCACCCTGGGAACCAGCATGAGGAAGGGCCCTGCCTCCTCCTCCCTCACTGTCCCTAGCCTCCTTCAAGCGTCTCTAACACTGCCATTGTCAGCACACCACCAGTGGTCAAACGTCCTGTTGAGAAGTGCCACCTGTGCATTACACGCAGTCTTACGCCAAAATACCCACCAGCCCTCCTTCTCTCTCCCTGACTCCTCTCTTCCCTAAATAAACCCCCTTCCCTGCAGCCCCCTGCACTCTTAAATTCCAGCCCACTACCACATGTTATAGGACACTTTCACGACCTAACGGTTTGTTCCATTGAGGCAAGATCAGAATTATTACTCCTGTTTTTGTCAATGACTGCCACATAACAGTTACTCAAAAAGAAAATATGCGACTGAAAACGCAGTTACCTGTAAGGACGGCCTGCAACCCCCTTGCTCAGGGCTTCTCATCCCCGGCTACATATTGATATGATTTGGGGAGCTTTGAAAAATCCTGATGCCTCCGCCCTACTCCAGGCCAAGTGAATCAGAATATCTAGGGTGGAGCCCAAGGAACTGATATGTTTTCAAAGGTGACCAGGAAAATTCAATGTGTAGCCAGGGTTGAGAAGCGCTGTCCTAGTGTTTAACTGGGTGCTGGAGACCCTGGACACCTACTGCCTTGATTCCATGTGGAGAGGTCCTCGGATTTGGAACCCGGGCTTTCCTCCATGGAGCTCTGCGCACTACCCTTGCTTCTAGCCCACCACTGCACGTGGCCCCAAGAGCTGAGCAGGGCTTCTTGGATCTGTGTGACTCCTGCAGTCACCAACTGTGCGGAGAGGGGAGACTCAGGGAAATGTTTGTCCAAGGCCTCTTCTGTCCCACTGATGGTGGTAAAGAAATACCAGCAATGAGCCTGTGCCTTAGATACAGGAGGCCTGCAACCGTCCTCCAAAGACACAAACTGTATAGAAATAAATGCCTATGGCAGACAGAACTGGCAACCCTGAGGCCCCTTGGTTTTAAGGGATATAACAAAGCCCCCAGTGAAATGGTGCTCTTAAAAGAGAAATCTTAAAGTTTTGCAGGATTTGGTATGCTATACTAAAGAAGTGTGGGTCAAATAAAATGGATCAGGCAATAACTTGATATTTCAGCAGTTGTGAGTGCTTTCAACTCTCTTTGTTGTGGGTACTTGCTTTGAAGGGTTCTGTTAAGACAGAGTTGTAAATCAGGTATTGTTCACTCCACACCACCTCCTGCCTGAAGCAGGACTAGCTCTCACTGCAGTGTGGAGAGTGTGAAAGACACAGCCGTTTTTATCACCTAATGTTAGCACAGGTTCACTTAGAAAATGCAGTTAAGATAACAGAGAAAGTCTCTCCTGTATGCTTCAAAGCAGCATGCCTCTGTGGGAGGGGACAAAGTCACATGACTCCACAAAGATGGCAACGGAATTGCCTTTCTTCAGGAGTCTGCGGCTCCTCAGTTAACAGGAGTGGGTCTTAGGTCTCCTTCTCTAGGTCAAGATGGGTTGAGAGGATGGGGCCAACGGGGTGGTGAGTTTGCTTCCTGTAGGGACCAACCTGCTTCCAAGAAGAAAAAGCCACCGTGTGACTGCAGATCCTCCCGCCCTGCCTCTGACTCTCCGGTGGGCATGCACCTCTTCCCGTGGAAGGAGCCTCCCCCACACAACACGGCCATGCGGGGCTTCCCAACCTGCACCCCTTCTGAGGCATCACCCAGAGGGCCCCTCCCCCAGTCCTGCTGCCGCCGCCTCAAATGTGAAATGCCTGAGCACAGATGCTTGGTCTTCTTCCCAAAGCAGGCCTCTCCTCAGTAATGTCAGCGTCCCTCACTTCAGTGTCAGCCCTTTCAGACCACTAGTCAGTGTCAGCCAGCCAAAACGGACTGCCAGCCTGCCCTTCAGAGTCCCTCTCCTGTGGACTTCCTTCCTTTCTGAGGCTTGCCTCGGAGGCTTGAGCCTAGTCACCTCCCTGCTCTAAGTGCTCCTCTCCTCCAGTCCTCCCCATACAACTATCCCCAGGATTTCCCAACTACCCATCCTCCATTGCCTCTCAGCCAGTGACCCTCAGAGTGCCCTCCCAGAATAGCCGCATCAGCATCCCCTGGGGAACTTGCGAGAAATGCAAGCTCTCAGGCCCACCCCAGCCCTGCTACATCAAAAACTCCAGGGCGGGGCCCAGCCATCAGTTTAACGGGCCCTCCAGGGGACTGTAATGCGGGCTCAAGGCTGAGAACCACTGCTCTAGGATAAAGTCCAAATGCCTTTGGTTGGCACCCATAGACCTGCCCCATTTAATCCACATGCCTGCCAGTTCAGTTCCTCTACCCCCATCTCTCCCTTAAAACAACCACCCCACCAATCCACTCATGGGTCCCTTATCTCAGGACAATGGGGCCTCAGTGCCTTTTCCATCACTCCTCCCTCCTGGAATCTGAAGCCTACCCTCCTCCCTCCCTGAAACCCCGCCCTGCCTAGTTCCAGGCTCCAGCGCACCTTCCTCCAGGAGGCTGGGACTGTCTTCCCAGACAGGGCCTGCATTGTCTTTCTCTCTGAGCCTTGCTGGGCGGCCTACCAGAGCATCCTGCACATGGCAGGTGTGTGATAATGATCGGCTCATTCAGGCAACAGCGATGACTGATCAGCTGATGTATAACTGGAAAAGTCTGGGAACAGCCTGCAGGGCAAGAGAAGAAGCCTGTTTTTAACGCCTTAATGTGCCAGGCTCTCACTAAATGATTTCAGAGACTTTATCTTCTTCCATTCTATCAACAGCCTTGCAAGGCCCATGTTATTTACCCCTGTATGGCTGCAGGCAGAAAGGTTCAAAGGACTTAAATGACTTGCTCAAGATCGCAGCTCTGAATGGCCATACGGTTTCATTTCCTAAGAAGCAAGAATGTGACCATGCATCTGGGGACCTGTGCACAGAAGCAGGTCCAGGGAAAAGTTAACCAACGACTCTGCATGGTTCCCTCAGATGTACTGGCTGCAAAAAACATCTTCCCCATCACACACATCCAAGATCAGGCAACTGCAGTATTTCAGAGTTCAGGAAATAAGCTCCAAGAATGCAATCAGTCAAAGAAAACTGCTTCAGTTCATCATCCCATCTTTTACTTCTTTTTCATTTTTTTAAAAATGTTGTCAACTAAACAAAAGTTCAAAGTGGGAAAATCCAATATGTGTCCTAGGCGATGCTACTGGGGAGCTTGGTGCAGAAGCAGTCAGTGCCTGGCATCCTAAGAGGAGTCAGCCCAGCCTGGAGAGCTGCAGCTGGATGAAGCCCTGGGCAATCAGGAGGAACACAAGAGTATGCAGTGCTGGAGAGGACAAAGGGGTGTGAAGAGAAGCCACCATGAGGCCACAGGAATGTTGTTCCAGAGGTGGCAGCCAGAGGCCTTAGAACTTTCTGAGTTCTTCCCTCCAATACTTCCATGCCTCCAAACTTCACGAAACTGTCTTTGCCCTTCTTCCACTCCTGCCAAAGTGCCCCTTAACATCCACTCAATTGTTTCTTTTTACAAAGTTCTATATATGTGCTTTGTATTCTCTGTATTCTCCAAATATATTTATTCTGCACACGATCAATTCTTCAGCAATACTAGGTAATCACTTAGGACCACGTACCTTCCTCAGACTTGTCTCAATATAATGATGTATTATAATGCAGTCCCTTCCAATGGGTCTCCACACCATATCATTTTTGACAAGACTAATTCCTACTCAGCTGTTCTCCATCGAGTGAGGCTGCATTATAAAGCTGGGCAATTTTATAAATCAATCAAAAGGGTTTGATAACTCTTTTCTAAAGAGAGAGGTAGTAACATCCCAAACCTGCTTCTTCATCACAGGAGTCATGCAAACGCAGGCTGCCCTCTTAAAAGTGGGGTCCTCAACACTTCTAACCTAAGCTGCCTACTCATCAGCTGGCTGAGCTCGCCCAGGCTGGATGGAGTACATTGGTGGGATCTCAGCTCACTGCGAGCTCCACCTCCCAGGTTCAAGTGATTCTCCTGCCTCAGCCTCCCGAGTAGCCAGAATTACAAGCGCCCACCACCATGCCCAGCTAATTTTTGGTATCTTTAGTAGAGACGAGGTTTCACCATGTTGGCCTGACTGGTCTTGAACTCGTGTGCTGGTGGTCTGCCCATCTTGGCCTTCCAAAGCGCTGGGATTACAGGCGTGAGCCACCGCACCCGGCTGCCCCCATCTATTCTTACCTGGACTACACTTGCTCCCCTAGAAATTAGAGGTGAGCATTCTCTAAAAGTTCTCTAGTGGACTGGAACAGCTGTACAGAACTATGAACGTCCTATGTCCCACAAATGACGTGCTACCAACATGGACACATGGTCTGCAGTCAGGCTGACCAGCCGGAGTGAGGATGAGCTGGGCCACCAGGTTGACCCCAGTGATTCCAAATAAGAGTCCTACAGCATGTGGCTGTGACAACAGAGGAGCTATGGTAGGAGGATCCCTGACCTTCTCACAGTCCTTCAAGGTGCCCTGGAAAGCGGTTATGGCTTAATGTTTTGCAGCCCAGAGCTCCCCGGTGGTCTGTCCGGTCTCCCCATCTCACAGTGTGCCCCTGGCAGGCCACAGCCTTGGCCAAGAAGGGGTGGACACATTCCAGTGGGAGGCCTTCCCAAGCTTTGTGAGTATCATCCAAGGAAGGATGGCCACTGCTCGGCAGACCAAACCCGACAGCAGGGGCCTCCAGCCGTCCCCTCCTCTCGTTCACTCTTCCTAAAACAAGCCCTCCAGCCACTCACTTTGGACAAGCTGCACAGATTCTTTTCACAGCCTGACACTCATACTGATCTTGAAGTGCCTTCTCTGCTAGCCTGTCTACCTATGAAGTTCAGCCTGATTCCAATTCCACTGGCCTTCCACGATCCGGTCCTGGTCACAGAGGCAGTTGATCCGAACTTACATAAATTCTTGAGGAGTGGAAAGGCCCTCCTCATACACCTAAAGTTCATGCTTTGAAATGATATGCTCATAAAAACACTTCCAAAAAGCCTATGCTCTAAAGACTCTTGGAAATATAAATACAATGAAGAAGCATAAACAGAAAACAATCAATACTTAAGTCTATATAGTCTTTGAAGATCCAAAAAGCGCAGTTGGCCCAGCTTTTCAAGATAAGACACTAAGAAAGGAACGCCGCAGGCCCATGACTGTCTGCTGTCAAAAGAAGGAGCAAAAATGGAACAGGAGCTTTACTCTCCATGGCCCCTAAACAGCTAAGGAATGATCTATTATAATAATGCATCTCCTTTAAACAGCAAACGTCTCTGGAGATAAACAGCACAGACTCCATGCAACATGGAACAGAACCTGTGTGCCCCCAGCCCAGGCACTCAACACTCTCTGCTGAGCCCTTTAGGAGATGTTCGATACAGTGGGACTTACCAGCAATTAACATGATACTCAACATCCGGAATGAAGTTTTGTTGAACGCAGCCACATCCATTCGCTTGTATGCCTTCCATAGCTGTAGCTGCTTTCACACTAAAAGGGCAGCTTTGAGCAGCTGCAACAAAGGCTATGTGGTGCACAAAGCCTAAAATATTTATCTGATCCTTCAAAGAAGTTTGCCGACTCTTGCTCCTCATTTTTAGATACAAGGACACTTTGAAATGCTCCTCATCCACGGCCACCAAAAATCATCCACTTATAGCCTCCCTTCCCACACCTTATAGCCGAGACTGTCATAGCAAATACACACACAAAACTCCACGTCTCCACTTCACAGAGCTTCCACCACAGTCAACAGGGACTAACACAACATCACCAGCCGCCTGAACTGAGAACCAAAGTCAAAGCTAGTCTGCAATGCAAACATGGTTAGCCCAAGTTTCTGTTGCTTTCTTTTCTTTACACTTTCAGGGCCACCTTGCAAGCAAGGGGTCCACCTCCAAGTCACCCCATTGTCTCTTCCCTCCTGTCTTCAACATGTACGGAGGGGGAAGTGTCCAATGTCCAGCTCACATGAATGGGATGAACAAGGCAGACTAAACAACAGAATTTAAAAGCTGAAGTCTTAGAGGTACACCCGCCACTGGCACACACTGAACTCAGCCTGTTGGCCGGGTTCCTTTATCTAAAGCACAGCACCCTCACATGGTGCTGAAGGGAAGGACAGTCTTGCTGAGAAGCTGGCTGAGATGCCATCTATGAAAGGGCCCAGCCCTCACTCTGCGAGGATTTTAAATCAATGTTATCCAGCTTTCCACCTCGGCTCCTTCACAGATAGCTCCTTGCTGGAAACTTTACACCAAGAAGTATAAACTCTGACCTCTACAGAAACTCACTAAACCGCAGCAAATGGGATTCAGATGTTTCCATGTACAGTACAATGATGTGACTTAGACTTTAAACACTTTGGCAAAAACAGGAAAAATGATGTGGGCCTTCCAGTCCCTCCCAGAACATGATACAGCCTTGACCCAAGCCCTACAGTGATCTGAGCCTTTCTCACTCCTACTTAAGCCTCCTTGCCCACAGCCCACATTCCCTGCCCCAGGTCCACATTCCCTGCCCCAGGCCCACATTAGCTCCTTCCTACCAGGCCCCCTCCAAGGGTCTATATCACTTTCCTTGGTTCACCAAAGTTGCCTATTTTTCCCAGCTGAGCAAAAGCAGATCATACCCTAATCAGAATTCAGAAAATTCCTGAAAGGAGAGCCAGGCTGAGCTAGGAAACTATACCCAGAGATACCCACAGCACTGGGAAGAAAGGAGAGGTCTTACATAACACCTTGCACCCCCAGGCCTTCTGGCTTCGTAGATTCTCGAGGATTTGCCAGAGACTCTGTAAGGGCTGGAGAATTCCAGATGGCGGCATAAGAAAAGGTGGAAATGTGGGGAGGAGTTTCTTGTGCCTGGGAAGGACAGACACAAACTAATATCAGAAACTGCCTCCAAAGAGGCCAGTCAAGACAGAAGACAAAGAGCATCCCTGCGGTTCATGCTCTGGGTCCATACCAAGCTTCGCTGGGGGCAGCCCATCTGCTGGCCATGTGTGCTGCTTTCAGGGCACGATGGAGAAGCTGAGTGCTCGTCTGGGCACCAGTGTAGCCACATGATCAAGTGTGTGCACAGGCAGGGCGAGTGCACACAAGAACCCCCCAGCCCCCGGGAGTACCTGTTACGGGTGCCTCAAATGCAACAGGCCAGGGACTTGGGGGCGGGGAAGTTACTACCACAGCAAGGGAGCTCCTGGGAGCAGGAATAGGGTTCATCACCAATGTAAGCACCCCTCAGGCCTGGTTGTGGGTGGGCACCAGACAAATGCCTACTAATAGTATAAGGAAGCAAAGACAAACACCCTTTCTCTCCTGTTTCTTACGTTTCAGCTAAGAAGAGCGGGGTGAGCCGCGGCCTGCCTGGGTACCTCTCCAAACTTCCTGTTCCAGGTACAGAAAGAAGACTCAAAAGGAAGGGAGGTGAAAGCCCACTCCCCCACCACCATGTTCAAGAACAGAACACCTATACGCACATAGGTACTCCCGTGACATACAGGCTGATACAGCAGTGTAGATGCAGTGCTCTGTCTACACTGGGGCCAAGGCGCCTCTGTCCAGAGCCCTGACAGTTTCATCCCTGCCAGATCTGCGCTCCCTAGGGCGGGCGGCGTATACCCCATGCAACCAACTCCGCGCGGGTTCCACCAGCCGCAGAGGCGCTGGACTAGGATGCTGCCCCTCCCACTCCCTTTCTCTATAGTGGGTACCGAAAGCCGGGGTGGGGGGTGGGGAGAGGTGGAAAGGCAGGAGGTTCCCTCCGGTTCCCCTGGAGGCTGGACTTCCAGCAGAGGCGCCCCATCCCCACCCTCCACGGCGACCACCCTGAGCCGCAGCAGACCCGACGGGCCGAC